TGGGCGGCGGAGGTTGCAAGTTGCACCCGGAGCCGGAGCCGGAGCCCGGGGCGGGATGGCAGGGGAGGGGTGTGTGTCTGTAAGAGGGAGAGAGGGAGGGAACGCCGAGGGAAGGGGGTGAGTCACGGCCGCGCCCCCTCCCGCGCGAGGCTGGAGCAGGAATTGCCGAAGCCCGGGACAGCAGGGCCCGAGCGCGCCCCACGCCCCACTGCCCCGCAGCTCCGCCAGGCAGAGTGAGATGGGTCTCTCCCTAGTTTCCCTCCCAGAGCTGTGCTGAGGGGAGGTCAGGATTCCAAGTGCTGGCAAATCCGGGGAAAGGTAATGAATGCGGGTGAGGAGAGCGCTCCGAAGCCCGGCCCCTTGAAAGTTGGCCTCGCCCATCAACCAAATAACACAACTCCTCTAGCCGGTTGGATAGCTTGGAGGATTTCCTCTCTGAGCATGAATATTTCTCTGTGTGTGTTTTTGAGCAGGAGGGCGCTAATTTGGCCTTACTCTCAGGCCTCCTCAGTTTCCCCAGGACTCGAAACACCATAACTCATTCATCCTGCCTAGGAACCCGAGCCCCGGAGGCCGCGTGAAATTGTACTGTCTCCGGCCGCTTCCTCTTCCAGACCCCGGGCCGGCCTGGCCTCTCCCGGGGATTTGGTCGGGGGGCGGGGGTGGTTTCCAGCCTGAGAACAGACCCTGGAGCCCGCCTTTCCACTGCTATCCCGGGAGGGGCTCTCGCACCTGTCGCCGTCCCCTCTGCTGCCCCCCACAGCCGCCTGGGAGAACAGCTGCCTCCACTTCCACACTGCAGTGTTGGGATAGCCCCGTCCGGGGGGCCGCAGTTTCTGCCGCTCTTCAGGACACACACATGGGCACACTGTCCCCAGCACAGGCGCTCACACCCTCCCAGGAGCCTTTCAAGTCTAGGCTCACGCTGGAAAGGGGGGGAGGGGGCGGAGAAGGCATTAGAGCTGTGCCTACGAGTGGCGTGGACCCCTGGAACCTCGAACATTGGGGGGCTGCCCCAATGCAGGCCAAAGACACCCTGCGGGTGGCTGCCCAAAGCCCAGCTAACCCCGGAAGGTCCGACCGGCGCCCCCTGCTGCCCAACCCACTGCAGCGGAGCCCCGCATGGCATTACATTTGAAATCCTTTAAATTGGCATTCCAGATCTCGCCCAGAGAGCCTGTTTTCCTCGGAGCTTCAAGCCTGACGACTTCCAGAACAATTGAGCCTTGATAAAGAAAAAAATTTACCCCTCACCCCAAGCTAGGACTACCAGCTAAAATTGAGCCTGCTCTGTGATGCTTTGCAACAGAGAGCGCCCATTCTCTGCTGGAGGCTTATTTACCCTCTCCTGGGAGGTTGGCCTCGCCCACCACTTGCAGTTCCAATAGCAATCCCAACAGCAAAGCCATTAATCATCCATATACCATTTCATTTGCAAACTTAATGCCTTAGAGAATGTATCACTTAACATAAAAATTGCGCGGGCTAAGGGACAACAGTCTCCATTTTACAGAACTGGAAACTAGTGACTTCAAGGTCATCCACCTAGTGACACTGGTCAGGGTGATCTGACTAGTAAGAAGGGCTCAGAACTTTTTTTTTTATTTTAAGAATTATTTATTGGAGGGGAAACCAGCAGTTAGCGTAATGGCTATGTCGCTGGACTCCCACGTAGTCGACTGCGGTTCGCGTCCCGGACCCGCCCGGCTTAAAACTCACTCCAGGCGCATGTGCGTGCGTGCCCAAGATCCCGAGAGGAGAATGGAAGAGAAGGGATTGCAGCGTGGCCATCCCCCCTGGGGGGGTGATTTCTCGCTTTCCGTCTCTCTGTCTCTCTCTGTCTGGCGAGCCCACGAGCCCTAAAGCGAAAACCTCTCCAAAAAAAAATTTTTTTTTCTGCAGGTGGCATGGTGGTTAAGGCGCTGGACATTCCCACATGGCCGACCATGGTTTGAGTCCCGGACCTGGTGGCTTGCTTTCTCACTCTCTCTCGCTCTGTCTCTCTCTGGTCAAATTAAAAATAAATAAATGAATAAATAAAATTAAATAAATAGTTACTTTTAAAAAAAGAATTATTTATTGGGATTGGCAAGTGGCATGGTGGCTAAGGGCACTGAATTCTCACATGGTTGAATGTGGTTCAAGTACCAGACCTGGTGGCTTGCTTTTTCACTTTCCCTCTCTCTTTCTCTGGTCAAATTAAATAAATAAAATAATGAGAACAATTTTTTTGAGAGGTTTTGGCTATAAGATGTGTCGGTAGAAAGACAGAGACAGACAGAGACAGAAAGCGAGAAATCACCCCCCAGGGGGAATGGCCACAGAGCGATCCCCTCTCCTCCATTCTCCTCTCTGGATATTGGGCACACACACACACACCTGGAGTGAATTTAAGCCACCAAGGACTCAAACTGCGGTTGACTACATGGCAGTCCAGCGACATAGCCATTACACCAACTGTTGGTCTTGAGAACAAATTTTTTAAAAAATACTTATTTATTTAGTTTTGTTAATCATTGTTATTATTTTAAAATTTGCCCCAGGGCACACACAGTCACCATAGAGAGACAGAGAAAGAGAACGTGAGAAAGCGAGCTGCCAGGTACCTTACTCGAACCATGGTTGGCCATGTGGGAGTCCAGCACTTCAATCACATCATCTCTGACCCCTTTATTATTTATTTTTATTTATTTTATCTTTTTAGAGAGATTTTTCCTACTGGGTGTGTGCACTCTCTGGAGAGAGAGACAGAAACTGAGAAATCACACCCTGGGAGGATGGCCACGTTGTAATCCCCTCCTCCTCCATACTCCTCTCAGGATCTGGGGTACGCATGTACATGCTCCTGGAGTGAGTTTCAAGCCTCCAGGTCCAGGATTCAAACCCTGGTTGGCCATGTGGGAGTCCAGTGACATAACCATTATAACACCTGCTAGTCTCTTATTAGTATATTTTGAATTTGGTATAGGGCACGCATACTAGAGAGAAAAAGTGAGAAAGCAAACTGCCAGGTCCAAGACTTGAACCAAAGTCGACCATGTGGGAGTCCAGTCCCCTAACCACTATGCATCCTGTTCGTCTGCGGACTCAGGTTTTTAACCTAGGATTTCATGTGGTCATACAGAGACTGGAGCTTCATCTGCTCAGATTCAAACTCCTATCAGATAATGGAACTGATACTACCTAAGGGATTCCACTTGTTCTTACTCTTTCCTGGATTAAAGGGCTTTCATTTTATTACTCACCTGCCTCAATCTAGTGTTCAGAGTCCTGATTCTGAAGGAGAAAACCCTTTCAGTTTCCTTATTTGTAAACAATTGTATCTACTTAATAAAGATGTTGTTTAGATTTAATGAGAAAAGACAGAGTTCTGAATTACTGCATTGAATTCAACCTTTATAAGGCATTCAATAAATGTTAGCTGTATCTATTCCTTTTTTAAAAAAATAATTATTTTATTTAACTTTATTTATTTATTTATTTATATTTATTTATTTTAATTTGACCAGAGAGGGAGGAGGAGAGAGAGAGAGAAAGTGAGTAAGAAAGCCACTAGGTCTGGGATTCGAACCATGGTTGGCCATGTGGGAGCCCAGTACCCTTAACCACCATGCCACCTTCCGGCCCCCAGCTGTATCTATTTCTATTATCCCCAACCCTTTATTTCTGCTCCCTACTAAATCCCTAGCTGTGTTTGCTAGAGACTGTTCATTCTTCAGCACTTGGAGAAACATCATTCTGGGTCAGCTGGTGGCTGTGGTTAAGGTGTAGAGCCTATATAGCTGACTGCATGGTTCTAGTCCTGGGATCGGTGGCTTGAAAACTATGCTGAAAACCATGCGTGCGTGCCCCAAGTCCCGGGGACAGGGAGAAACGGAGAAGAAAGGATTGCAGCATGATCACCCCTCATAGGAGGTGCTTTCTTACTTTCTTACTCTCTCACTCTCTCTGCCTCTCTCTGGTGAGCACCTGCACCCCCTGGCAAAAATTTAGAGAGAGATAGACATCATGAGAAGTATGCAGGATATAAGCAGTGGCTAAAGCTGCCTGTTGGGCCAGTTGACAGCCTAGTGGTTAAGGGACCTGGATCCCACATGGCCAGCTACTGTTAGAATTCCAGCCCCTGCTGCATGCCACGTGCACTGCCTCAAATCCTGACAGGATGGAGAAATAAAGGGAGTGTGCAATGATCATGTGTCATTGTGCTCCTTCTCTCTCCCTGGGGAGTGTACATGCTCCCTGGCAATTAAAAAAAAAAAAGCTCTCAGTTAACTGGCTCTCTGCTGGGCACTGTCCTGATTGAAAAGATGAAAGAAGAGAAGCTTTATTTATGAACTCTCTCTGCAGTTTTCCAGCATCCCTTTAACTTTCCTTACTCTTGGCTGATAACCTTGGTTCTGTATATATATATATGTATATATATATATATATATATTTAATTTTATTTACTCATTTACTTATTTTATTTTGACCAGAGAGACAGACAGAGAGAGAGAGAGAGAGAGAGAGAAAGTGAGAAAGCAAGCCACCAGGTCCAGGACTTGAACCATGATTGGCCAAATGGGAATGTCCAGCACCTTAACCACCACGCGCCTCCAACCTTGGTTCTGTTTTTTAGACTCAAGTCTCCAAGTCGCTGTGTTATCCAGGTTGGTCTCAAACTTTGAATCCTGCTGCCTCAGCCTCCCAAGTAGCTAGGATTACAGATGCACTCTGTTATACCCAGCTTGTTATTTTACTGTGAAAATAAAAGTAATCAAAAGAAAACATCCTTATCTTCCTACCACTAATCTGACTGTTTACCTCCATCCTCACCTGTATACTCTGACTTCTCTCTTGTTACAATGTACTACTTTGGCTTCTATTTGAGTCTGATTATTTCCCTACTCCTATCTCCTACCCCATTCTGGTTCGACCCTGCAGTCATTCCTTCTTGCCTATCTGAGGACTGTTTTCCTTA